CTGTTTGGGATTTGTGTGGATTAACCAGCAGATTTGCCCCCGTGTGACTCCCTGCAGCCCTGCGGCTGTGTGCAAGTCCCCCAGAGAGGAGGCACAGCCCTGGCTCTTCACCCCAGAAGCCAGCTGCGGAGGGCATTGGGCAAGAGGGGAAGAAGGAAGCTGGGGAGGGAAGACAGCTGCCGCTCTTTCCCAAGGGGCACCCTCCAGAGACTTGCCGCCAGTCTGGTTTGAAACCAGTTTGAGTTGGATTTTTATTTGGCCTTCCTCTCCTCCTGCTCCCCACCACTTCTTCCTTCTGTTTTTGAAACTCTCTAGTCTAGGACATCTTGTTTTCAGGTGGACAGGATTTCGTATTTGCACCCCTAAGGGCAACAGCCCCCCCCAAAAAAGATTTGCAGCACATCTGTTCACATCTGGCGAAAGGCCAGGAGCAAACCCTCTCCCCCAAACAACCTTCCTTCCTCACCCCCTGAAAAAGAAGGAAAGTTTGGATGACTTTTATCGTGGAACCACAACAAAATGAAAAATAAAGAGAATTGGGGCTGCTGGGTTCAGTCAATTAATTGATGATTAGATCAATGAATCAAAAATATTTGTCATTGATCATTGTTGATGATATATGCCTGGTGTTCTGCCCTGTGGTGACAAGGATTATTATAAATAAAGAAACATTATAAATTATAAATAAATTATAACACTATAAATTATAAATAAATGAATGTTGTTGTTGTTTAAACATTTTGATCAGCTCCAAAGGTAGCCTGGTTAATAAAGGGTGGAACAGCAAGGATATTATTATTATTATTATCATTATCATCATTATCATTATCGTTAATTTTGTAATGTAGCATTATTATTACAGAGAACCAGTGTGGTGTAGTAGTTTGAGGTCAGGACTAGGACTCTGAGAGACCAAAGTTCATCTCCTTGGTCAACCATGGAAAACCAGTGGGCAGGTCACACTGTCTCAGCCTCAGAGGAAGGCAAAGGCAAAAAACCCTCTGAACAAATCTTGCCATAAAAAGCTCAATGAGAGGCAGCATGGTTTGAGTGTTGGACTAGGACCCTGGAGAACAGGGTTCAAGTCCCTGCTCAGCCATGGAAACCCGCTGGATGGGTGACCCCGGGCAAGTCACACTCTCTCAGCCACTGAAGATGACAAGGGAAACCCCTTCAGAACAAGTCTTATCAAGAAAACTGTAGGAACCCTTGGAATAAATCTTGGCAATAAAACCCTCTGAATTGATTTATAATTGTTTAACGCCGACTTCTTGAATGTTTTTTACCTATATAGTAATCATTTTAATATTAAGCTTCCTTGAGTTCCAATTTTGGGGAAAGGATGTGGTATAAATAGCAATTATGGTAATGATGATGGATGATGATGCCACCATAAGGCACCGTACGGCACATAACAATGGACCCAGCCTGGTGTAATGATTTGAGTGTTGGACTAGGACTCTGGGAGACCAGGGTTCAAATCTCAGCTTGATTGTGGAAATCCACTGGGTTGACCCTGGGCAGGTTGCACTCTCTCAGCCTCAGAAGCATCCAAGAGTAAACCCATTGTGAACAAATTCAGCCAAGAATAATGTAGGAGAAGTTTGCTGTAAGTCAGAGTCAACTTGGAGGTACATAATAAAAACAAGAACAGCAAACAATTATTATCTCAGTTTCACAGTCTCCCAGGTGTTACAGATTGCAGTTTTAGAGCATCAAGAACAGATTCTTTTCAAGCATCTAGGAATCAGTGTCACATTATCCAGCAATGCCTCACCGATTCCTAGATTCTGGGACAGAATCCAAATCATTGATGGTCCAAAACTCCAGTCCAACAGCTAGCAGACTGTGAAACCAATTGTTGTTGTGGCTGGGTAACCTTACACAGTAATCTACACTGCAGAAATAATGCAACTTGCAATATATTGCAATAATACAATATAATCTGCACTGCAGAAATAAAGCAATTTGACATTGCGTTAACTGCCATGGCTCAATGCTATGCAATTCTGGGATTTGTAGTTTAGCGAGATACTTAGTCATCTTGCTCAGAGAGCTCTGAGGCCATAACAAACTACTAACTCCCTAGCCGGTGTTCAAATGTGGCTCCAGACCCAAATTTTGCCCATACCAGTCCAAATCATTTCATGTCATCAGTCTGTGGCTGCATCTGGACTGCAGAACTGATGCAGTTTGACACTGCTTTAACTGCCATGGCTCAGTGCTATGCAATAGTAAGATTTGTAGTTTAGCGAGATATTTTAGTCATCTCTGTCAGAGAGCTCTGAGGCCACAACAAACTACAAATCCTAGTATTGCATAGCATTGAGCCATGGCAATTAAAACAGTGCCAAACTGCATTATTTCTGCAGTGCAGATTAGACTTTAGCTAAATCGCAGAGGTGCTCAATTGCCCACTTAATAAATTGCAAGGCTATAATGAGACGCTGGCAAGACTGTCTGCACATACATATCAGGCTCTACCAATGCATTTAGCACTTCCTAGACAGTGTCCCAATGCATAAAGGGACCGACGCACATCGGGACTGCTGTGCATTGGATCCATTGTGCACTGGTCACTTTGCTAAGTCCCTGAAATAGTAGCATCACAGCAGCCCTTTACTGGATACTGACATTATGGACCGTTGCTTTCATTGTGTGCCTTCGAGTCATTTTCTGACTTATGGCAACCCTAAGATGAACCTATAACTGGGGCTGAGAGTGCGTGACTCGCTCAAGGTCAGCCAGTGGGCTTCTTATGGCCGAGCGGGGATTCGAACTGCGGTCTCCAGAGTCGTAGTCCGGTGCTCAAACCACCGTGCCATGCTGGCTTTCACTGGCAATACAGAACATAGAATCATAGAATCATAGAATCATAGAGTTGGAAGAGA